ACCCAACTCTTCCTGGCCAACCTGGCCAGGGTCTCTGCCTCATGGTCACAGCCAGCTGATGCCCACTCCAGATCCACAGGTGGGGGCTTCCTAGCTCCCAGCCCAGCTTGTCCTTCCTTTCCTTCCGGCCCCACTCTCCCAACCAGCCCACAGCCTGCCCAGCTCCCCGGCCTGACACTTGGCTGCCACCCATGGCCACCTCTACCAAATCTCTGTGTTTTCCCAATGGGAAGAATTTCTATTTTTCTCACCAGAAAAAGTCACAAAAACTGGTTTTGCCCCCCTTAAATAAAGATTATGATAGTGATCTTTAATCCTACCTTCCCAGCATGACTCAGTATTTACATTTTAGTGCACAGCTGTCTAGACCAGAGCTTCCCAAAGTGGGTGAAACCACCCCCTGAGCGGCACCGGAGGATCCAAACCCCAAACCAAGCCCGACGCCTTCAAATCCATTCTGACTCCCAGCGGGTAGAACTGCCCCTGTGGGTGTCCAAGACTGTACGCCTTTATGGGAGTAGAGAGCCTCCTCTGTTCCTGTGAGGGTTTCACACTGCTACCCGTGTGGTCAGCCTCCCAGTGAGGAACCCACTCCACCAGCAGGCACCTACACTCTATCTTGGATCATGGGCTATAGTATAAACATTTTTAATGGCCGCAGGAGCACTTAGTAATTTTTTTTTCTAAAACGGGGGTGATAGGCAAAATAAAGTTTGGGAACCTATGGGACTCTAGACTTTCTTTTGTGTAAGAAAAACCCAAACCCCAGCTCCCCCGCGCCCCGGGCTGCAGGTCCCTACCGTGCATATGAGCTTGTCCCAGTACTCGCCCCACATGTTGGCACAGCCTGTAAGGCCAATGCTCAGCTGCTGGTGGGGTCCCAGCATGCCGTGGGAAACTCGGGGGAAGAAGGCGGCTCCTTTCCGGTGGGACAACATGCTCTCCATGAAGTCTGAGGGTGGGAATGAGGTGCAAACAAACGCTCGGGTGTCGGCATCACACTGTCACAGACAAGTCACCCCACAGCCTTGCCTTAGTCGGGTTAAGTAGACCCTCATGCTGAGACCCCAGAACCCAGAGACTAGCGACTGTTCACGGGAGTAGAAAGGCCAGTCTTTCTCCCAAGGAGCTGCTGGTGGTTTCCCACCGCCAACCATGCAGATCGCAGCCCAATGTGTAAGCACTATACCACCAGGGCTCCTCACAGGTCACCAACTATCCCAATCCCAATGCCCTAGCAATGAAAAGGCTTTCTTTGGGAGAGGGGGCATCAGGAGAAGGGCCTTGGCTCTCTAATGACCTGGACTTGAGAAAATGCATATGGGCAAAGTGATCAGATGTCCCGTGTTTGGCAGGACAGTACCAATTTTTAACAATTTGTCCCGCGTCCCTCGGCATTTTTAAAAAGTCCCGATTTTTGGAAAGCATGCATGACAAGCAAGGGTATACGGTTTTCGGCTGCCATGTGGCTACTTCGCCAGGATATGTTCTCAACGGTGTCCCGCTTTACCAATGTTAAAATCTGGTCACCTTAATACGGGGTGTCAGCTCCGACTGCGGCCCGGCCTGCAGCACCTGCCCCGGG